TTTATATTTATGGATTAACACAAGAACCAAACACAAAAGAATATATCTTTGTAATGCATCACATGGAAGATGGAAGTATTCAAAATGATAAATATTCAATTCAAAGAGATGAAGAATATGGAGAATGTACAATTTGCAATAGATATAATACTAGTGAGGCATGGTGTAACTCATGTGATCCAAAGCTATTAACTGAAGGATGGACTAGTGGCAATGAAACATTGGATAAATTGATTAAAAGTACACAACTTAAAACAACAGTATATGATAATGATTATTATCTTCAATGGATTCCTTATAATGATTTAACAAACATTGAAAAGATAGGTGAAAGTGGTTTTGCAACTATATACAAAGCTACTTGGTTAAATTATAAACATTCAAAAGGATATAGTGAAGATTGGACTGTGGCATTAAAAAAACTACATAATTCACCAAATATTTTTGATGAATTTCTAAATGAGGTAAATTATTTTATTTTTCTTTTTATTCAAACTTTTTAAATAATATTTGAATTTCAATATGTGTCTTTTTAGTTCAGAAATTTTTCTATATTTTTTGGTGAGTCATTTGCAACTCGTTGTTATGGATTAACACAAGATCCAGCTACAAAAGAATATATTTTTGTAATGTATTATTTCATGGAAGTTGAGAGTCTTCAAATTTATGATGATCAATATTCAAAGAAAAGGGATGAAGAGTATGGGAAATGTCCAACTTGTAATAGATATAATACTAATTATTCATGGTGTCAATCGTGTGATCCAAAGCTATTAACTGAAGGATGGACTAGTGGCAATGAAACATTAGATGAATTGATTAGAAGCACACAATTTAAATCAATTAAGTATCATTATAGTAATCACCTTCAATGGATTCCTTATAATGATTTAACAAATATCAAAAAGATAGATGAAAGTGATTTTGCAACTATGTACAAAGCTACTTGGTTAAATGGTTATAAAAGTTTAGATTATAATAATGAAAAAACTAGTAAAGATATGCCTGTGGCATTAAAAAAACCACATAATCCACAGAATATTTCTGATGAATTTCTTAATGAGGTAAATTATTTTGCTTTTCTATTCATTTCAGATTTTTTAAAATATTATTGATTATTATTGTTGTAACTAAATATTTATTTGTTATTCTAGTTGAAAAATTATACAGAGTTTTATGATAAAGTTTATATTTATGGATTAACACAAGAACCAAACACAAAAGAATATATCTTTGTAATGCATCACATGGAAGATGGAAGTATTCAAAATGATAAACATTCAAATAAAAGGGGTGAAAAGTATGGGGAATGTCCAACTTGCTATAGGTATAATACTCGGCATTCATGGTGTAACTCATGTGATCCAAAGTTATTAACTGAAGGATGGACTAGTGGCAATGAAACATTGGATGAATTGATTAAAAGTACACAACTTAAAGCAACTCAATATAGTAATAGTGATTATCTTCAATGGATTCCTTATAATGATTTAACAATTATTGAAAAGATAGATGAAGGTGGGTTTGCAACTATATACAAAGCTACTTGGTTAAATGGTGAAAGAAGTATAGATTATTATAATAAAAAAAGAACTAGCAAAGACATGACTGTGGCATTAAAAAAACTACATGATTCACCAAATATTTTTAACGAATTTCTTCATGAGGTATATAAATTATTTTATTCTTCTATTTATTTTCAGATTTTTTAAATATTATTCTGAAATTCAATCTATTTTTTAGTTCAAAAATTATGTTGATGAATCAAATTCAAATAAAATTTATGGGTTAACACAAGATCCAGCAACAAAAGAATATATTTTTGTAATGGATTACAGTGGAGGTAAAAGTCAAAATTGTGATGATCAACATTCAAAGAAAAGGGATAAAAAGTATGGGAAATGTTCAACCTGCAATAGATATAATACTGATTGGGCATGGTGTCAATCATGCAATCCAAAACTATTAACTGAAGGATGGACTAGTGGCAATGAAACATTGGATGAGTTAATTAAAAGTGCACAACTTAAATCAACCAAGTATCATTATAATAATCATCTTCAATGGATTCCTTATAATGATTTAACAAGTATTGAAAAGGCAGATGAAGATCGTTTTGCAACTATATACAAAGCTACTTGGTTAAATGGTTATAAAAGTTTAGATTATAATAATGAAAAAACTAGTAAAGATATGCCTGTGGCATTAAAAAAACTACATAATTCACAGATTATTTCTGATGAATTTCTTAATGAGGTAAATTATTTTATTTTTCTATTTATTCAGATATTTTGTAATTAAATATTATTTGTTATTCTAGTTCAAAAAATATACAAAGTTTCATGATAAAGTTTATATTCATGGATTAACACAAGATCCAGCTACAAAAGAATATATCTTTGTAATGCATCACATGGAAGATGGAAAACTTCAAAATTATGATGATGAATATTCAAAGAAAAGGGATGAAAAGTATAGGGAATGTCCAACTTGCTATAGATATAATACTAGTGAGGCATGGTGTAACTCATGTGATCCAAAGTTATTAACTGAAGGATGGACTAGTGGCAATGAAACATTGGATAAATTGATTAAAAGTACACAACTTAAAGCAACTGGGTATTGGAATGGTTTTTATCTTCAATGGATTCCTTATAATGATTTAACAAATATTGAAAAGATAGATGAAAGTGGTTTTGCAACTATATACAAAGCTACTTGGTTAAATGGTGAGAAAACTGCAAAATATCATAATGAAAGAACCAGTAAAGATATGAATGTGGCATTAAAAAAACTACGCAATTCACAGAATATTTCTGATGAATTTCTTCATGAGGTATATAAATTATTTATTTTTCTATTTATTTCAAATTTTTAAATATTGTTTTGAATTTCAATATATATTTTTTTAGTTCAGAAATTATGCTACATTTCATGGTAAAGCATTTATAAATAAAATTTATGGATTAACACAAGACCCAGCTACAAAAGAATATATCTTTGTAATGGATTCCATGGAAGATGGAAGTCTTCAAAATTATTATGATCAATATTCAAAAAAAAGGAATGAAAGACATGGGAAATGTCCAACTTGCAACAGATATAATACTGGTGAGGCATGGTGTCAATCGTGTGATCCAAAGCTATTAACTGAAGGATGGACTAGTGGCAATAAAACATTAGATGAGCTGATTAAAAGCACACAACTTAAAGCAACAAGTTATGATAATTATTATTATCTTCAATGGATTCCTTATAATGATTTAACAGGTATTGAACAGATAGGTAAAGGTGGGTTTGCAACTATATACAAAGCTACTTGGTTAAATGGTGAGAAATATAGCAATGGAAAAATCGGTAAAGATAGGGATGTGGCATTAAAAAAACTACATAATTCACAGAATATTTCTAATGAATATCTTAATGAGGTAAATTATTTTATTTTTCTATTTACTTCAAATTTTTTAAAATATTATTGATTATTATTGTTTTGCTTGTTATTTCAGTTCGAAAATTACACAAAATTTCATGATAAAAAAGATATAATTCATATTTATGGATTATCACAGGATCCAATTACAAAAGAATATATATTTGTAATGAGTCATATAGAAGATGGAAGTCTTCAAGATTATTTAACTAAAGATTTTAAAAATTTAAAATGGGAGGACAAAATTGATATTCTCCATCAAATTATTACTGGGTTAAGAGATATTCATAAAGAAAAAATTATTCATCGTGATTTTCATAGTGGTAATATTCTTCAAAGGAATAAATGGAATTCATTTATTGCTGACTTAGGATTATCACGTCCAGTTAGTCAAACATCAAACAAAAGTGGTATATTTGGAGTACTACCATATGTTGCACCAGAAGTTTTAAGGGAGAAGCCATATACAATGGCATCAGATATATATAGTTTTGGAGTTCTGATGTCTGTAATATCAACTGGTCAACAACCTTTTAATAATTTGGCACATGATGTATATCTTGCAATGAAAATATGTGAAGGTGTAAGACCTGGATTTTCAAACAACACACCAAAACCCTATATCGAACTAGCATTCAGATGCATGGATGCTAATCCAAATAAACGTCCAACTGCTGAAGGAGCTTTTAAGATTGTTGATTCTTGGTATAGTTCACTTGAAGAATTTAAGAAAATGAATGAAATAAAATTTGATCCATCAACAATTATTCCATTTCATCCAAATGCTATTTACACTAGCAGATTATTAAAATTTACAAACCTTCCCCAACCTGTGAATTCCAATAAAGTGACAATTATTGGTAATAATAATGGTAATTATTAACATTTAATCATTGATTGATTATTTTCATTTTTTATTAATTTTTAAAATTTATTTATTGATGTCCATTTATTGATTGATATCCACTCTTGTGATAAATATTTTGCAGATTCTAAACAAATTGAATTAACTATTGTAGATTCTACACAAATTGAATTAGCTATACCATATGAATTATTTGAATAAGTTAAATCTTGTCATTTTATTATGTATTAAATTATTTATTATTTTATTTTATTTATTCAGCTACTATAGTTGTGATAAATGTCTTGAGAAATGAAATTATAGATAATTGATTGATTAAATTTAACAGTGTGAAATTAATTGATTATATTAATAGTGATATTATATTATAAAGGTAATAACTTTCCACAATTGTCTTTTTTTTTTCATTTTGAAATTTGGATGTCAAATATGCACATTCAATAATTTGTTGTTGTACAGTTTTTGGGCTACTATATATTTAAAATGATTTATTTATTTATTATTTTTATGAGGCGAAAATATTTTATATTAACATATGTAAATAAGGTCTAGTGATGTTAATTATTTAACTATATTCAGATGAATATTTGAATATTCAGTTTAAAGACACCTACTGTAATTGGTTATTTGCGGCAATGGTAACTCCAAAAACTTGCTCTTTCTCTTGCAGCAGTATTTTTTTGAATACTTTCTCTTAAATTATACCATTTGATTTATTTTAGTTTTAAGCGAATCCATTTTGCTAGATGCATCAACAGTAATAAATTGAATAAAATCTCCATTGGTTGCAGCAACAGAAATCTGTGCAAGTGCACATACTTATGAAAGAAGTTAAATTTTCTGCCATGATATTGAAATTAGATGTGATTTCTTTCCAAGTTCCTCTTACATCCTTAACTTGTGCTTGAACACCTAATTTTCCTTCAGTCCCTACTTTTCTAGTAACTCTTGTTACTTCAGCAGCAAATGTAGATAACTAATAGATAATTGTTTAAAAAATATAAATAAGATTATAAAGATAAATATTATATATATATATATATAAAATAAAAAAAGCAATTGATTAAGCTCACTTGATCAACCATATTATTAATTGTTTTCTTTAAATCAAGTACTTCACCCCTGACATCAACAGTAATTTTTTTAGATCACCATGAGCAACAGCTTTTGAAACATTAGCAATATCATGCACTCGGACAGTGAGATTTTCTGCCATGGTATTTACATTGTCTGTTTATTCTTTCCAAGTGCCATCAACACCCCAACACCAGCTTGACCACCAAGATACCCACTTCTCTAGCTACTATAGTTGTTTCAGCAGCAAAGGTACAAAGTTGTTCAATCATAGAATTAACAGTTTTTAATATCAAGTAACTCACCCCTGACATCAACAGTAATTTTTTTACTGAAATTAACATGAACCACGGCAGTCATAACTTCAGCAATAGAATGTGCTTGAGTTGTGAGATTTGCTGCCATTACGTTCACATTATCAGTCAATTCTTTCCAAGTACCACCAACACCTTCAACAACAGCCTGGTCACCTAATTTACCCTCTGTTCCTATTTCTAAAGAGACTCTTGTTACTTCAATGGCAAATATTTGCAATTAATCAACCATGGTGTTTATCATATTTTTTAAACCAAGTACTTCACCCCTGACATCAACAGTGATTTTTTTTACTCAGATAACCAAGAACAACAGCTTTTGAAACATTAGCAATGTCACATACTTGAGAAGTAAGATTCTCAACCATGATATTTAGATTGTCAGGGAGAATTTTCCAAGTACCATCAACACCCCAACCTCAGCTTGACCACCCAGAATACCTTCAGTACCCATCTCTCTAGCCACTCTAGTTACTTCGGTAGCAAACATACATACCATAGTACTTATAATAATTTTTAATTCTAGCGCTTCGCCTTGCGTAGGAACCCTTACTTTTCTAGACAAATCAACATATGCTACTGCTTTACACATAGCTGCTATGTCACGTACTTGAGCAGTAAGATTAGAAACCATTAAATTCACATTATCGGTAAGATCTTTCCATAATCCACCAACGTTTTTAATATTTGCTTGGCCGCCAAATTTTCCTTTAGTTCCTACTTCAAGTGATACCCTTGTTACTTTAGTGGCAAATATTCGTAACAAATAAGTGTGTGTGAGTGTATGTGTAAAAACACAAATATATACATGAAAATATGTATATAAAAAAGAGACTTACCTAATCAACCATAGTATTTATGGTATTTTTAAATCCAAAAATTCACCTCTTACATTAACAGTCACTTTTTTACCAAGATCTCCTCTAGTGACGGCTTTTAACACATCAGTAATATCACGAACTTGAGCTGTTAAATTTGCAACCATTGTATTTACATTATCGGTAAGCAATTTCCAAGCTCCATCAATGCCTTGTACTTGAGCTCTTATCCCAAGTTCACTACTTTATGAGCAACAAAAGTAATTTCTGAAGCAAAAGAATTTAATTGATCAACTAAGAAAAAAGAATATTTGCATGAAAAATGAGTGATAATAATAAATCATAATAACAATAATAATATAATTCAATAATAATAATATTGTTATTATTGAGAGATCTTACTCATAGTATTTATAGTATTTTTTAGTACAAGAGTTTCACCTTTAACCTCAACAGTAATTTTTTTGCTTAAATCACCCATGCACTACAACAGTACATACTTCAGCAATATCTCTTACTTGTTCAGAATGATTATTAGCTATCATATTTAAATGGATCATGATTTCTTCCAATCACCATCTAAACATTGTTTTTTTCCTAATCTTCCTTCTTTGCCAACTTCACGAGCAACCCGAATCAACTCAAAAGCCACATCATCAAGTTTTTCAACCATGGTATTGATTGCATTTCTTTTTTTGAAATCTTCATAAATTACAGCCATGGTAACAGTTATACAATTGTTAAGGCATTCTAAATATCATGAACCAAAGCAAGTGGTGTTGAAGGAGGACTTTCGCGACTCATATAATTGCTGGAGAGTTTATTTGTGGAATCATTGACATAAGCATGTATAGAAGATTTGTTGAAATCGCCCGAAGGAAAGGTTTGATATTGAATAACTTGTTTTTCAAGTTACAAGTGACGCCCTAATAATTTTATTAAATTCCATTGTATCTTCATTCTGTTGGCCTGGATATTGTGAATTCAAGCAATGCTCTGTACTGTCATCATGAAGATTTTGAAAACGTATCCAATAATATCCGTTATTAAAAGAATATTAGATATTTATATATATATAAAGAATGTACTAATTAATCAAATATTGTGAATTTTGGAATTTAAAGATCAACGAAATCAATGAAATCACATTAATCGATTTTGGGGTGTCTTGCCTGAATACATGAACTCTGACATTATACATACTTTTCTTGCTCTATTGTACGTCACCGCCAAATCAACATGCATTGTATATAGCTTAGGTTTTGATAAACTTCAAATAATTTATTTATTAATTAACTATAAAAATAAAGTTTTCACAATTTTATTGCTTATTTATATTGCAAGAATCAGCAAAACCTAGACTTTCATATATGGTTCTTGAAGATTACTTTAGTAACAAGTATTAATAATTCCAATCGCGGTTTAACCAGAGTTTGAACTGTGGTCCAATTAAACCATTCCTTACACAAATTCAAAGACAATATTTGTTGTATCCTTCTTTCATGGCAAATGAAGCATCACAAATAGAAAAACAACAACAAGATTTTGATGAAAAAGGTTTATGAGCTGGAACCCGATCTGACATATTAGGAAGTATCTAATACTAATGTAAAATTTTTGGTGGTGGAACAATGAATAAATGCGTGTTACATAGTGAAATTTTGCGTAGTTGATAAAGTTTAGCGATTAACTTTGTATTATGATTATCAAATTCTATATACTTTTTTGCATTAGTTTTTTTAGAAGAAGGCTAACTGTCAGGGGCTGTGGAGGTTCTGTATGTTATTTTTTATAGTAATAGGGTAATCATAGTTGCATCATACAAAGACCAGTTTTTTAAGAATTTTCGTGTTTATATTATGGTATGGCAATTTCTGCTCCATTTGTTTACAATAATAATAATAATAACAATAATAATGATACATTAAATAACGAATGGCTGAGCAATGATGGCTGTTGTTTCCGAGATGATGTAATAGTTGGCAGTATTAACTTATTATACTTGAACTTGGATGTTTTAAAGACTCTTCAAAGGTCATTAATCCTATTTTGAAATATAATTTTTTTCTAATTCCAAGAGAAAAAAACAAAAAATTAATCGTTAAAAGAATCCCTAAAGGTATATAAAAACTAAGGACCCTTAAGCTCAAACCTTACTAATGTAGGAGAAAAAAATGAGACTATTGCTCAATTGGTTAGTCAGGAAGAAGCTTTGATTTCATTGTTAAACATAAGCAGGATACTCCTAATGATATTAACTAAATGAACAAAGAAAACCTGAAGCTAAATGGGGAGAGTTATTACAGAAGTGCATACAGAAGAGTAGAGAAAAATTTAATGTTAGTAATTTTATAGTTCATATGTATATATATATTCCTATAGGGAAATTAAGTGATCCTCGTCAAGAGAACATCTTGGAATTGGAATTACATCTTATACCTATAAAGAACTTGTATATCTATTCGAAGATTATTCTATAAAAAAGGAACATAGAACTCAATCTTGATCTACGAATGGCGAAGTAATTATTTGCTGGTATATATGACCTTCACCAGATCCTGTACCTTTCCTACTTTTCTTTTAGGAATTCGGATAATGAGTTGGTCCTTACCTTTTACCCCTGCAGAGACCCGCTTCGTCGCTTTTTGGAATATACTTTTATTTACTTATTACATAATAAATATATAATTTTGTTTAATAATTCAGAAAAAAAACTTGTTCATTAAAACAATAATAAAAAATGATTCGTTTATTGTTAAACAAGATTTTGAATTCAAGTAGAAACCGAAATCCTTACAATTCCAGTTCCTGCATTTCTTTCATACATTTTTTTATGAAGGAGAACATGTCAATGATTGCTGACATGTTATCTTTAATTAATTTATTAAAAGTTGTAAAAACATAATCTAAATTTTTTTGAAATTAGTAATTTATGAAACCTGTACAACTTTTTCATATTTTGGGGTATTTGGGGCATTTTTTATAGAAAGGGAGGGACCAAATGACAAATAACAAAATTTTATATTAATATTAAAAGCTCAAAATTTTATATTTGTGATGAGTATGAGTCATATTCTTGGGAGGTTACATTCTTACACAGTAGAGATCATACCTACTGAATATTCATTCGTTTTATGTTCATTTGATCATTAAATTAATTATTCAGTGAATATTAATTGTTATCAAAATTTCTTTACAAAAAAAAAAAATCTAATCAAATAAAAGCAGATTAAGTTTTGTTCTTTTTGATGTTATTGTATTTTCAGCTTGAATAAATAGCCACTCACTTGGAGTGTACGTTGTAGGTGCACACAAGTATTTAGTAACTAACTTTTTCCATCACAAGATGGATCATTTTTCCACATCCAATTTGACTTCTTAAAACCATCCTTTACTTTGCTTTTCTTCAAAATATGAGCAACAGGAATATCCTCCTTCTCATTATGAATGCTATTCTTTTATTTCAAGCGAAATAGTTAATCTAATTAATTATAAATGAACAAACAGAAAAGACTTACGAAATTTCATTTCAATTTCAATTACACGAGATATTTACTCGCTAAATATCCACTTTTGATTTATTATATTTGTCAATGAAAAAAACCAATATCCGATTAACCAAATATCCACAGAGAATTCAATGAATATTATTCATTAGGTGAAACCTCTTTACTATACTAAAATGAAACTCAATGAAAGGATCTACGGTAATTTTTCGAGAGAGTGACGTGTTGTAAAAGTATTAGTATTAGTGTGTTTTATGGACGCAGGAAATAAAAATCTGGTTGAATTTCATCTATTTGGCAATTTCTAATTTGGTGATTGAAAAAGTACGCAGTTTTTAAAACCTAATTAATTCGACCACTAATATTAGGCCCAATTTTTTATTTGTGTCTTTTTTCATTATTATTTATTATTTTTATTAGGCTTTTATTTTATTTTGTACACCACTTTACCGCAAATACTTCTTCATCAAGCCTTATAAAAACTGACAGATTCCCTCCCTAAAACAAAAAAATAAAATATAAAAAAAGTTTCACATAATATTTATCCATTACTACTTTTATTATCCTTTTACCATTAACACTAATTATTAACCAATTCACAAGATGGGTTTATCTATTTCAAAACTCCTTCAAGGCCTTTTTGGCAAAAAGGAGATGCGTATTCTAATGGTGGGTTTGGATGCAGCTGGTAAAACTACTATTTTATATAAGCTTAAATTAGGTGAAATCGTTACAACTATTCCTACCATTGGTGAGTTTTTTTTTCAAAAAAAAAAAAAAAAAAGATAAAATAAATAAATAGCATCATATTTATGTGGTAAAATATTAAAAAACAAATTTTATTAAATATTTAATTTTCTTAAATACATTATATTTATTTACCACCTTTAAGGCTTCAATGTTGAGACTGTGGAATATAAAAATATTTCTTTTACTGTTTGGGATGTTGGTGGTCAAGATAAGATCAGGCCACTTTGGCGTCATTGTAAGTTGATAAAATAACAGATGATAATTATTTTTACTTGGTGATTATATTAAAAACAATTAACCAACAACAAATTAATTAATCGATCAATCAATCAGATTTCCAAAATACACAGGGTATTATTTTTGTTGTAGATTCAAATGATCGTGAACGTATTTCAGAGGCTCGTGAGGAACTTCAACGTATGCTTAACGAAGATGAACTTCGTGAGGCACTTTTATTGGTATTTGCCAATAAACAAGATTTGCCTAATGCAATGAATGCAGCAGAAATTACTGATAAACTTGGACTTCATTCTCTTCGACAACGTCATTGGTATATCCAAGCCACATGCGCAACGAGTGGTGATGGTCTTTACGAAGGTTTGGAATGGTTAAGTACTAACTTAAAACGAAAGGTTTAAATCCAAAGAAAATAAATAAATAAATATATATATATATACAACAACAACAATATTAATAATATTATATAATACTATAATTATAATAACAATCATAATAATAATAACATAATTATAATAATAATAATAACAACAACAATATACACAACATTTTAACCGAAACCTTTAAAATTGCATGATTAAATTTGTTTCATTTCTTTTAAAGTTTTGATTTTTATTATATATTTTTTTTTTCAATATATATTTACATGTGCGTTCTATTTTTAACCCAGAATTATTCTTGACTTTTTGGGTGGGTTGTAGAAATTATTAGTGATGGATTATTATGGCATATTTTTTTATATTTAATAATAATATTATTATTTTACACTGATAGAAAATAAACTTCTCTTTTTTTTTTTAAATTGAAATTTTTTTTAATATTGTAATAAAAAATTTAAATTTTTAATCAATAGAATATTTCTAAAATTTATATTTATTTACAAGTGTGATACATTGATATACCCTAATTGGAATCGTTATTATATTTATTATTGCTATAATCTTTTTCTTCATTCCAAATTGTTATGTGATAAAACTTTTGATTAATGTGTTTATATCATTCAAAAAACTTGATTAAAAGAGGAGGAAGAAGAGGAAAGAATTAATCATTTAGGTTATAATCTATAGATGTGACTAATAATAATGTTATCATTATTAAACTTACCTAAAGAAATCAGCTCTCGTAATAGATACAGTAAATGACAAATAAAAATATTGATAATGAAATTATTATTATTATTATTATTATCATTTATAATAAGAACAAATGAAAAATGCTACTGATATTAAAAACGATGACTGATCAACTAAGATCAAGTAAAATGGTCATTTTTCTGAATTATGAATTCAAAACACAACCACCATTTGCTAATAAATAACAAAATTGGGAGTTTCGAAATTAACCGGAAATCCCGAATGCAATTTCTTATCATTTCAGCCAAAAAAAAAAATATCTTCAAATGAAAAAGAAAAGTAAAAATAAAGGCAATTCAACCGTTCATTGTATTTTTTTTTTTTTTTCAAAGAATCAAAAATACTCACATCTCTTCCTCTTGATTTTTATTTCATTTTCAAACAAATATTATTTTGAAAATCAAACAAGCCTTAATTGTTGAATTATCTTTTATCTCTTTTTTCATAAAAAAAAATTTTTTTTTTTTAAAAAATCAAGAAAAAAATTATTTATTTATGTGTGACTTGTCATGTGATCGATTTTATTAGCATTATGGACTCGTTTCATGAAAAATTTATAATTAGAGAAAAAAATTATCATATAAATTATGCAGCTTTATATTACGCGAGATTAGTAGAACTTAAACCTATTGTTCTTGAATCTGCGCGTAGGAAATGGCGCGAAACGCGAGGTAAATCTAATTTTGGGGGGTTTTTTTTTGAGAATACTTTGGATTTTAGCTGATTATTATCATTATTATTCTCTGATCAATTATTATCTAGTCGATATATTTCATAATGCAAGATTTTGTGACAAAATTTTAGATACAAGGCCTGACGAAATATGTTATATGATTGGAACAGTTTATATTGAAATGGCTAACAAACCAAATATTCTTGATGAAATTACTAAAGATGTGTGTATATCAATTTTCAAAATCCACAATTTTCATATACTATCTGCATGTATATAATTATTTTTTTTATAATTAGCATACAGAACCCCCGCCTCCACCAGTTTATAAATATTGTGGTGATAATGATGATATTATGTTGGAGGATGGATCTGGAAGAATAAGTTTAGTTGGTGACGTAATAAAAAATGAAATATTAACTACAGGTATACTCATTTCAATTTACCATTGTCAACTTGTAAAAATATTAATTTCATAATTAATATATAGGATAGGATATGATATATATCAATAAAATATGATTTATTTTATTATTATATTTTTTAGGTGTAATAATGGCAGTATTAGGCAGACAAACATCGGATGGAAAATTTGAAGTAATGGACCTTTGTTTTGCTGACTTAGCACCTCAAGAAGTTGTACATCGTATGGAACTAGGTTAGTAAAATCATCTAAAAAGAGTGGTTTTTTTTGTTTATTACTTGACAAAGTATCTTATCAATAATGGAAATTGTCAAGATGAGCAAAATTATGTAGCTTTTATCAGTGGTATGAATATTTCTGAAGATAGTTTATCGAGATTACAAATGCAAATGATGGTTGAATATTTAACTGGTGAACTTGGAAACCTTCATGTAAAGATTTATTATACATGTATATTCGTTTTTTTTTTAAAAAATCTATTAGTTAATAACGATTTATTTATTTTTAGGATCAAAACGTTACTTCTAAAATATCAAGGGTAATCGTAGTAGGAAATAGTTTAAAAGAACAAAAACATGTATGAATTAATTGATATATTTAACAAATTTATATATATATATATATATATATATAATTAAAATTATACTTTTTTTGTTAACAGACAAGACAAGGAAATGATAATTCTGGTCTTAATAATGAATTATTTTCAGAATTAGATTATATTTTTGATGATATATGCAAGTCAACTCCCTTAGATTTAATGCCAGGAGCCAATGATCCAACAAATACAACTTTTCCACAACAACCAATTCAAGTCAATTTATTCACAAAAGCTCATCAAAACTCAAATTTTAATTGTGTAACGAATCCTTATTTGTTCCAATTGGATAAATTTTTGCAAGTTATTTAATATATTAATTTTATTTTTTAGAAAAAAATGAAATCACATAAATTAATTAAATGTATGTTTCAATAGATTTTTAGGCACATCAGGTCAAACAATCGATGATATTTTTAGATATGTAGAATCTGATGATAGACTTTTATTTGCTGAGAAAACTTTATATTGGAGACATATTGCACCAACTGCACCTGATACTCTATGTACTAAAAGAAATTTTTAGATTTTGTATTTTATTATTAATTTACCAAATTGAAATGATTTTAATTTTATAATTTTTATATTAGTTTGTTATCCATTCCAAGATGAAGATCCTTTAATAATAAACCAAACACCCCATGTTTACTTTATTGGAAATCAAAAAGAATTTAAAACCTGTTTATTAAAAGGTAATCAATAAACTTTGTTTTCTTTCTTTCTATCTATCCCTTAAAAGAAAAACAGTAATTTATTTATTAATTATACTTGTTGTTAGGATCAAAGAATCAAACTACACGAATAATCTTACTGCCTACATTTTCTACAACAGGATTGATAGTTCTTTTGAATTTAAACAATCTCGATTGTCATACCATATCTTTTTCTTTTAAAATTTAAATGTTACCATAGATATAGTCGGTTAGTTACATATAGAACAATAGACTTTGAAATTAGTTAATAAAATAAAAAAATAAACTGTAAATTTATAAAATTTATATATTGTAACCACGTGATTATTGGATTTTTAATCTATTTATGTTACACAACATTCATTCAGTGTGTAAAATTGAAGGGGCGCAATCGACACATGTAGCATTATTATCCAATCAAACTTAGAACTTCTGAAGATAGTTTCTAAATTTGTACTAGTCACACGACGAAATTTACACTGGTGTCTACATTTTATTTAAAAATTTTTTAAAAAAGTTTAAAAAAAAAAAAAATGGCTCGACATTCTCGCTCAAGAAGTCGTTCTCCCTCCCCACAAAAAAGACGCAAGCATTCACACTCACACTCACGTAGACGTGATCGAACAAGAGATTCCTCAAAAGATATTCACGACAGAAGTCGTAGTAAAACTAGACAGGACAAGGATCGTGATCGGGAAAGAGATAGAGAAAAGGATCGTATTAAAGATCGTGAAAGGGAAAAAGACCGTGAGAGAGTAAAAGATCGCGATAGAGAAAAAGACCATAATAGGGACAAGGACCGTGATAGGGATAAGGATCGTGATAGAGAAAAAGATCGTGATAGAGAAAAAGACCGTGATAGAGATAAGGACCGTGATAGAGACAAGGACCGTGATAGAGACAAGGACCGTGATAGAGAAAAAGATCGTGACAAGAATAAGGACCGTGATAGAGAAAAGGACCGTGAAAGAGAAAAAGAAAAAGATCGCGAAAGAGATCGTAATAGAGATGATAGAGAGCGTAAGAAATCTCGTAATCATGCAGAATCTGAGAAAGAAGATTCACATCGTAAGTCAAACCATTCTAAAGATAATACAAATAGAAAAACTCGTGTTGGTGATTCACATTCGCATGAACCAAAAATTAGCTCTTCTTTAACGGAGGCAATGAGCGATGTGATTACCGTTGGTGAGAAGGACCAAACTACTCATATAACTAATGGTCATGAAACTGCTAATGGTGAAACTGAGTCACAAGCCAACTCTAATGAGATAAAGGTAAGCTTTTTTAAATGAATGCATGTCAAATATTTTTTATCAGATGATATCTTTATCGAGAGGTTTTTTTATATAGTCTTCTGATTCGAAAACGTCTGCAACAGTTGCTGCTTTACTTGATCAAGAAGAAAAAATTCGTCAAAGAAGGGAACGTGTTGAACAATGGCGAAGAGAAAGAGAAGCTGCCAAGAAAGCCGAAGAAGAAGAAGAAGTTAAAATTAAAATGACAGGCGAATCTTTTACCACTACAGCAGAAAATTTAGCCCTAGAAAATCAAGAAGAACAGGAAATTTCAAACAAAGGTGGTTGGACTTTAGATAACGATGATGAAGATGATTCTATGGAAGTAGATACCTCAACAGGTTTTGATCATTCATATTATCGTAAAAAGTTTCTTAGAAAAAAAAAGTTTATATTACTTTTATTATTATTATATTAAATTCTTACTTATTTTAAAAATATTACTTATTTTAAAAATATTACTTAGATACATTGCCTACATCTTCTGTCGATCTATTACCAATCCCAAAATCGATTGATAAAAGTGAGCCACAAACACTACAGTTTAGAAGAAACCCTCTTCTTGGCCCTTCTAATAAGAAAACTTCATCCCAAAATGTTAAGGGTAAGTCAACAAAAGAAGGAGTTCGTGAAGAAATTGATAAATCTTCAACATCATCAACCAAATTCACGTTGTTTAAAGATCAATCCGATAAAACGATGGATATTAATAATTCTGAAGATGATGAGGATCCACTTGATGCTTACATGAAAGATGTTGAAGTAGAAGTAGAACATTTAAATGAACAAGATAAAAAACGAGCAAGACAATCTATAAAAGGAAGGTCTAAAATCGAAACTCCGATTTCTTCTGTTCAAGAAGATGATGAAGAAGATGAAGAGGAGGTTGGAAGTAGTGATCCTGAAGATATTTTAGCGTATGAGTTAATTTATATTAATTTATATTACTTTATTTTAGTGGTTTATTAATATATATTATTAACAAATAAAAAAATAGACTTGCTGCCAAAAAACTTAAAAAGAAAGATTTGGCTATAGTTGATCATTCCCAAGTTAAATATGAGCCATTTAGAAAAGATTTTTATATTGAACCTCCCGAGATGCGTGATATGATTCCTGATCAAGTAGATTTAGTTAGAATAGAGTTGGGTGGCATCAAAATCAGGGTATGAGCGGGGGATTTTTTTTTTAAATTTATTATAAATTAATTTTAAATGTCATTGTATTATTACTTTTTTTTAGGGTGTTGATTGTCCAAAACCTATTCAAAAATGGACTCATGCTGGTTTACCTGCAGCATGGTATTTATAATAATGCTATTATTTATTATATGCATTCACTTATTTGTTTTATAAAGAGAGAGTTAACAAAAAAAAATTTTTTTATTAATTATTTAGTTTGGGAATTATAAAAAAATTAAATTTTGAAAAACCTACACCAATACAATCGCAAGCAATTCCTGCTATTATGGCAGGTCGTGATGTTATCGGAGTAGCTAAGACCGGTAGTGGAAAAACTATTGCTTTTCTTCTTCCAATGTTTAGACATATTAAAGATCAACGTCCTTTAGAACAAATGGAAGGTCCTGTAGCCATAATAATGACTCCAACAAGAGAATTAGCTGTGCAAATTCATAAAGAATGTAAACATTTTTTAAAAGGTTTAAATCTTAGAGTAAGTAAAATATCTTCCTTTATGCATTTATTGTCATGTGTATAAATAATATTAAACTTGGCAATAATTAATCGTCTTTTTTTATTTAATTATAAAATAATATTATAGGCGGTTTGCGCATATGGTGGATCGCCTATTAAAGATCAAATAGCAGAATTGAAGCGTGGTGCAGAAATCATTGTTTGTACACCAGGGCGTATGATTGACCTATTGTGTGCTAACTCTGGACGTGTTACTAATTTAAGAAGAGTTACTTACCTTGTGTTAGATGAAGCTGATCGTATGTTTGATATGGGATTTGAACCTCAGGTAACTATTAGATCGACGTGGAATTTTTTTTTTTGGATTTCCAATTTATGATTAATCAACAACCAACTTCCTTTTAATTGTTATTGTTAGGTAATGAAAGTTGTTAACAATGTAAGACCCGACCGTCAGACTGTATTGTTTTCTGCGACGTTTCCTCGACAGGTAAATTAAAATCTCTATTTCCCCATGAAAAATTTTTTTTATATAATAGTCATCCTCTCTTTATATTTTCTTTAAAGATGGAATCATTAGCAAGAAAAGTTCTTAAGAGGCCTCTTGAAATTACTGTAGGTGGTCGTAGTGTTGTAGCTCAAGATGTGACTCAAATTGTTGAAGTTCGTGAAGAAAATACAAAATTTGTTCGTTTATTGGAAATTTTAGGTCAACAATACAATGATGATCCTGAAGCTAGAACCCTTATCTTTGTCGATCGACAAGAAGCTGCCGATAATCTATTACGTGATTTGATTCATAAAGGGTATCCTTGTATGTCTTTGCATGGTGGCAAGGTACTAATTATATCTGATAATTTTTATTAAATATTTTGTATTTTAACATCAACAAAAACAAAATAAATAAATTATTATTAATTTTAATTAGGACCAATTGGATCGTGATAGTACCATTGCTGATTTTAAATCAGGAGTCTGTCAAATATTGGTTGCAACTTCTGTTGCGGCTCGTGGTCTTGACGTAAAACAATTGAAACTTGTTACTAATTACGAATGCCCTAATCATATGGAAGATTATGTACATCGTGTTGGTAGAACTGGACGTGCAGGTAATAAAGGTACGGCATATACTTTTATTACACCTGAACAGGATAGATATGCTATGGATATTGTTAAAGCATTAAAATTAAGTGGCGGTCACGTAAGTCTTGAGTTACAACAATTAGCTGACGGTAAATATTTGTTTCAAATTCTTTTTTGGTTTATTGGTTAAAAAAAATTTTTTTTATATGTATAAAAAATTAATGGAAATATCAAAAAAAAATTTATAGGTTTTCAGGAAAAAGTTAAGGCTGGTAACGCTACCTATTCAGGTTCAGGCTTTGGTGGCAAAGGACTTGAAAAATTAGACGAGGCAAGAGATTTAGTTAAAAAGGCACAAAGAAAGGTATTATTTGTTCATTCATATTTACAATCTATATTTCAAGCTTATATATATATATTAAATGGAACTATATAGATAATGATGATAATAATAATTAAAATTTTTTTAGACATATGGAGATGTTGATGATGATACATCAGAAGAAGAAGTTGAAGATGAAGAACATCCAATACTTCCTACTATTAAGAAAGAAGAAGCTGAACAAATTGCTACAAATCCGGTTCAAAAAGCTTCTTCACCCGCTGTTGCTAGCTCATCTACTGCTACTGCTGCTACTGCTGCTGCTTCCACTGCTCCCATATCATCTGAATCCAACCATACAGCAGTTGCTGGTAGGATTTTTTAAATTTTATATACAAGTTTATTTTTCAAATGAATGTAAATGTTTATTTTTTTTTTTTTCATGTATAGCTCTTAGAGCCGCACAGGAAGCTGCTGCTCGCGTTAATGCTAGTGTTGGAACTAGTGGTGTTCAAAGAGCCAAAGATATTATTGCAGATATTAACGCAAGATTTAAAGATAACCCTGTACATGGCAATGTTTCTGAAGCTGATAAGACGGAAAATACAGCCGAATATAGTGTCGAAATTGAAATAAACGATTATCCACAAAAAGCACGATGGAAAGTTACAAATAAAGTATGTATATTATACGTATATTAATTATTATTATTATTATTATTATTATTATTATTATTATTATTATTATTATTATTATTATTATTATTATTATTAATTGATTGTTTAAATTTCCATTTCCAATTAATTCAATCTTTATTCAAATTCAATTTTATAGGAACAAATTTCTCAAATTACAGAGCTTACTGGTGCGGCAATTACTACACGTGGTACATATTATCCACCAGGGCGTCAACCTGTACCTGCTTCTGGTGAAAGAAAACTTTATTTATTTGTTGAAGGGGAAAATGAATATGTTGTTGAGAAGGCTAAAAATGAAATTAAAAGAATTTTAACTGAAACTACATTAAGCGCAATTGAGGCTGAATCAAGAAGTGTACCAACAAAAAAATTTCATATCTTTTAAAGAAAAAACTATTTATTTATATATATTTTTTTTACCATCATTATTATCAGGATTTATTATTTACTAATCAAAAATTAGATTTTTTTATGCTATTTATATTTTGTTTTAATATAATTATTTTTTAAATAATTTATTAGTTATATTTTAACATATACAAATAAAATTTAAAATATAAATCAAATTATTTGGAAATGAAATTCGATGATATGAGAGAATTAAATAAAGTGGAAATATTCCCAATTGTGGGAAAGTATAGATATAATTAATTTTGTGAGTTATCAACACTCAATACTTTACAAATAATTATTAAATACAATAATATTTTACAATTTAGCTATTAAATATATATATATATAAATTAATAAATTATACAACAAAAAAAAAATTAAATAAAATAAAAATTAATAACGGTACTAAGTCTTTCAACTTGATTGCCATTGTTTTTCAAAAAAAATCGTCGGTTGGTTCATCAGGCTCATATACAAAATTTTTCATATCTTCGTCGTTGAAGATAGATTCAGTAGGTACTTTGAATTTTTCAGGATTACTCCACTTACTACCAATCAATTTTGACAATTCGTTACGTCTTTCAATCTGTTTTCTAACTTCATCATCACCAGGAATAGTTTTTCTAGCACCGTTTCTGCCTCTTTTTATTCCCCTTTGTTTATCAGGCTTTATTATTTTTTTGGGGGAGGGAGGGTGAAATGAAAACAAAAAAAAAACAAAAAATTTAGTCATTGAATAATAAAATCAAAGAAATTGTAATGATAAATAAGTAAAAAAAGGTAATTACAAAACGCGCTAAATAAGTTTCTTCAATTTCATTATTAACTTCTGTTTCGAAATGAAGATATTGTTGATAACCCATCAAGTCTTTTACTCTGCCTCTCAAAACTGCTTTACGGTATGCATTTTTTCTTTCCAACTCATGTAATCTTGCTTGAAGTTCACGTAATTCTCTGCCTATTTCATCATCTTCATCATCTTCCCTTCCATTCCATTGAGCCTAAAATGAATGCATAGAGAGGTAAGCCAATATGTGTGTATATAAAAATCGTTATTTAAATATTACAACGAATTCAAAGATATGTATGTATAAAAAAGTACACTAACATCATCATCATCAACAAGACCTAATGCTTTTAATTCTCTCAAAACTCTATCATTCACATTACAATCCTGTGTATCAAAATCTTTTAGTAAATTTTTTGGGGTCAATTCAATTTGATCACCATTATTATTGGTGTTACTATTATTAATATTAATATTATTGTGATAACCATTCTGACCATTTGTTTGTAAATAATGACGACCTTCCTGTTGATTGAAGTTGTCTCCATAATCAATTAAAGACATTACTAAACGTTGACTTATAGGCCCAATAAATTCATCGCACTCATCATTTTGAGTTTTTAATGAATGTGAATTGAAACTTCCATTTAATTGACGATCATCATCATCATCATCTGTTTCACCTGGTTGATGTGGCATAAGAGCATTCATCTCTTCTTTCCAAACTTCTTCATAATGTTTACCAAGTCTTGGAAATTTATAATATTTTTGATTATTGGGCTTATAAAAAAAATATAGATTTGTGATATAAGTAAATACATACATACATACATATGTGTGTGTGTGTGTGTTAAGATTTTGGCATAAATTTTTTTACCTTGCTTGACAAAAAGTCCAAATCCTCTTGTTTAAGTTCACGAACATATGGATCCACATACTCGTAAAAGGTTTTAATTGGTATTTGATCCTTTGTCTTTACAACAGGAGTTTCATCTATTGGAGTTACAATAGTTTCTGAAGTGCTTCTTTTCCTAGTTTTAAATGTTCCAATAGTATTTTTATTTTTTGCTTTCTAAAAAATTAAGTGTATACATGAATAGATATGTAAATAAATAAATAAATATAATTATAGATAATAGTAACTTACTGATCCACTGTTGGTTGTCCTAACAGGAGTTGATTGTCTTGAGTTTTTTATATGGTTTTTTCCAAAATCAGAGGAATCACTGTCATCATCGGAAAATTCTTTTTTGATTTTCTTTTTCTTGTGTAAACTATATTTTTAATTAATTAATTAATTAACAATGAAAAAAATAATAATATCATTCCTTTATTTCCTAAAAATCACCTGCCACTCTTGGTTATTTCTTTACGATGATGACCAGGCGGTATATATAGATCATCAGTATCTTATTTATATTAGGTTAGATTATATATATGGTATTATATGTTAATTATTACAATTTATTATATATGTTTAGGATTATTTATATTAATTTACCTGAATCATTATTTTTTTGTTTATTATTAGACTTTTTCTTTTTTGAAAGTTTTTCTTTTACCATCATACTTTTGTGCATACTAGGGCTATTTGATCTTTGTGCATGAGAACTTGATACTCTAGATGTATTAGAACCAGAGGAACCGCTTTTCAAAGGTTTTAAATTAACAGATCTTCTTGGTTCCATGTCCATTATCGATTCATCGCGCTTGGAAAAACCTTCTCGTATCTCTTTCATACTCAACTCAATCTCTTCACGATCTCCCTCCACCTCATTAAATAAAGTACCAAAGTTTCTTCTTTTTATTAAGGATGAGGAATTGATTGATTGTAATTCTTTTTTTAAACTTGCTAGGTCAGTTGTTGGTATTCTGGACTTTATCGATTTACCATAATATGTAATTGGTTGAGTGAAGTGAGATGGTGAAGTAGATATACTTGCCGATTTATTGTTGACACTGCTATTATTGTTATACTGATAGGTGTTAGTGTTTTGGATGAATTTTCTGAGTTCTCTTTTGCGTAGTTTATTTAAAGGCTGAAAGGTTTTTCTTAGATTATTAAGTTTTTGTTTTTCTTTGTTGTCTTTTTTATTATCCATCTTTTTATACAATTTTTATTTATGTACTTGACTTTAAGAAAAAAATATTAAAATATATAAATTAAAATGTGTGTGTGATACAAATGTAAATCAATTAAAAATACAAGTTTAATTCAAGATTCTTTTTATATATATTAATTGAAATTTTAAATATAAATATATTTTTTAAATTTAACCACTAGATTTTTCAACATTACTCACACCGATTGATTCACTAACACCACCACTACCACCACCACCACCAACTCTTGATGTATTATTATTAATTTGATTTTTATATTTTTGAAATGTTTCTTTTGTAGCAAATTTAATTCTATCAACAACACTTTCTATTGAATCTAAAGCTGGTCTAACATCCAAATAGAATATAGGAGTATCTCCTTCATCAGGTCCAGAGTAATAATCAATCACATACCGCACTTCCTTACCGCATCTATCAATAGTCCAATCATGACGATCAAATGGCGGTGGCGTTCTAAGCAGTGACAATGATATTAAGATTAATAAGCAAAAAAAATTTTTAGAAAAAAACCAAAAAAATCATTTACCCCATGAATGAAAATATCTTCCCTGCCCATTGTAACATTCTAGCTTTGGGACTTAATTCGTGTGGTCTACCACGAAATCTTAACAATTTTGGATCACCACATTTACTAATTATATATATATATATTTATGTTTATATTTGTATCATCTTTATAAGGTAAAAAACTTGAAAATTTAAAAAAAAAAGAATTGATTGATCAAATTGATAAATTTTTCTTTTTACCATTTTTTCGTACTTTCCCATTTAAGTATTTCGTTCCAAGCAGCTTCATTCAAAAAATTATGTATATCAACCATTGTCTCAACACTATCCTCCGGAGTCTCCCATCCTTTTCTTACTAAAGCGTTATAAAATTGTTGTGGTGATGGGTATTCCCAATATTCTGCACTATAAGCTTTTGGGATTGAAGATGTGAGACGATGAGTCGGTAATGGTATTTGCTGACCTGGCGCCGGTAAATGACCAAGGTTTGTTGGTATTTGATTTTCAGGCGAGAGTGCGTCGCCTGAATGCGTTATTGGACATGATGATTTATTATCATTTTTTGTTGTGCCATCTGGTTTTTCATTATGCATTGGACAATTTGATGGAAATTTTGGATTTGACATTTTTTTTTTAGCGCAAGGAAGAAATCAGGTGCGACGGTTGTAGTCTTTTTTGGTATATAAAAAAAAAACGATGATTTTTTTTTATTTGACTTTTTTTTTAGTGTGTCACAAATTTTATAGCTAGTTAGTTGATTAATTACTTGATTAGTTAACTAGGCCAAATGCGATTGATGAATTAAAAGAGGAAATTTCCCAGGGTCAGGATCTACAATCTTTTTGAAGGCGATATATCTCAGATGAGATTCGTAATACAATTAATTATTGAAGAAGTTTTTAAGGTATCTGAATATATTTCTCGCTCAAATGAAGCTACCCGTCGTGAATTTATTTCCTGTATTATTTACGGGTGTTGCATCATGAAAAGTAAAAATTTGCCCCGAGTATGAAATGTTTGGAAGTCATGGTAAAGGCCCAATTGATTGGGGTCCATTAAAGTAAAAAAATAGTGTTACTGAGACAAAGAGAGATGGATGATATGAATGATGGTGTTGCACAGAATATAATCCAGTTGCAGACATCCATTCAAAGTAATACACTTGTATGAAAGTAATGTAATCAACAGGTAAGAACGCTCATTTTTGATAATATTATTTTGAAAAAAAGCTTTTGTTAATATTAAGCTGTTAGTGGTTTGACAAAAATTTGGAGTATTTTGACTGTTGCAAGTCTAAATTAATGTCAAAATGTCTAGATATAAACCATTTGCGCCACCGATAATAAACATTAGCTTCGGCCAATTATTTAATAATAAATGTATCTTTTCTTTTTTAGCTGATTAATTGTATATACAGAATATCGATTGCTTTCATTTTTTTATCATTGATACAATGTAAATTCACTGTGACACATGGTCTACAAGGACTGCTTTGTAATGGTGGTGGGTGACATTAGTGGAAAATTTTCAACAAAAGTTGTATTATTTTGATTTTTTAAATTGAACCAATGACTAAATCCTATTTTTGAGTGGTGGAAAATATCACGTGAAAACTGCTTTATCCAATGAGATGTATTAAAAAATATATATATTGTGACTCGCTTTAAATAATTGCTATAAATCATTTTCTTTTATTTATTAAGAAAGAATAATCTAAAAGAATATTATCACACATATTGATCATAAAAATTGAAATCACAAAATAAAAATTAATTCGCACAATGCTACGAATAAATGCATTAAAACGATTTTTTTGAAACCAATTCCTTGCATACTAAAAACATGTATTGTAATGATTTCCTTTGTATTTGCAATCAAGATCATCTCCACTTTTTCTAATGAGAAGTTTCTGCACGTAGTAGATTTTGAGATAATGAATGATGTCAATTTGATAAAAATACACATGTATTTTTTTACTATTGAAGATTGAGAGTCAGGCCATAAATAATTTAAAAAATAACCACTTGTTAATTCATTTATTAACTTTATTTATTCATAATAATTTAAAATTATTATTATCGCTGTTTCCTATTTGATATAATAATAAGTTGTCTTACCAAGTTTAATTTTCAAATTACAAAGATAACTAACACACAAGTTAATTGAAAGAAAATTCTAATAAATCATCAATTGTTGATTTTCCTAATAATAAAAATAAAATAATTCTATTAATAATTACTTGCAAAAGGAAAAATATCAACATATGCATATATACACAAGAATCACCTTTATTAGAAGAAGTTGAATTGTATAATGCTGGTTCATTTGTTGAGGAGGAAGAAGAAGTTGTTGTAGTTGGATTTGAAGTGATTCTGATTTGACCTAATTGTGGTTCAGGTTCAGGTTCACTCAAATCAATTAACCATGAATCAGAATTATTTCTATTAATATGTGTATACAAACAAGAATTAATATACTATAATATAATATATATACATAAAATATAAGCATTATGATAATATGGAAATGAAAGATTGTGATGTTACGTTTTTGTTTCTTCTTTCGCTTTTGGTTGTAAAATAGATTGTTGGTTCAGTTCTTTAGGTTGGTCAAATATTCCTTTTAAAATATTTTCATATCTTGCCAAAACAGTATTAATCAAATCATTCAAGGTTAAAAGACGATCTATTCATAAAGGTGAATATAAAAAAAATTATTAATAGTAATGGATGATATGTGATTTTTAAGTTGCATAAAAATACAATAATACGAACCAATGCTTTCAGAGTCTTCCTCTTCGGAAATCATTTTTTGAATTTTCGGTTGAGAAGTTTTACATGATTGTATCAATTCCTATATTATTAAATTATAACATACTAACAATTATTAATCAAAAATCAAAAAATAAAATAAAATAAATAAATAAATAAATAAATAAATTTATTTTATTTTCACCTCAAATATATCACCTTTACTAGTTTCTTCACTAGATTTGATATTATTTAACATATCATTTAAAAGTATGGCTTTTTGTTGTATGTTTTCCAATTCTTCATTAGCCTGTTTTTTATAATCTGGTTTTGCCTCTTGATTCTAAACATTATTTAATAATAGTATTGTCATTATTTGTACAAATTAAAACACACGTATATATATAAAAAAAAATAGATAATATATCTTCTTACATATCCTGACATAATTTTCATAAGTTCATTAGCCTCTGCTAAATCTGAAGGTCTACCTCTACGAATTAATTCTTGTAATTTCTAAATGATATTAATGAATCAATGTAAAATCCATCTAATTAATTATAAATTAATTGTGCTAATGAACGTTCTCATAGATTACTCTACCGCTGCTTGAGCAACTCTATCTTCTTCTTCTAATTCTTCAGGTGATTTCAATGTCTATATATATTTATATATGAAATAAATTGAATATTTTATATATTTTATTTAATAATTTCTATAATCAAATTAATTTAGAGGAAATCATCTTGAAATCTATAAAGTCACACCTCCTTAGGAATAAGAACCGATGCAGATTGATCATCAATCTCGGGAAATATGTAGCCTACGTATTACAATTTGATTGATAATTAAATCTGAACTATACATGTATGAATATGCACCATAAGATATATGAGATCACATATACCTTTATATACTAATAACCGATACATATCATTGATATGAACAAGGTCATCTTTATGTCGAGAAGTTGTACAAATTGTGATTTTCCATTCTTGAATAAATTCCAATATTTTTAATTGTATTGGATTAGGGATAGCCTATTAAAGAAAGAATCGCCAATGAGGTTGCTGATGATGATAGTAATAATTTGTTGAATTGTTTTAAAATTCAATTACAACATTGATGATATATATAAATAAATAAATAAAATTTTTCCTACAGGTGATTTTTCAGGAAATTTACGAACTAGTTCATTCAGAAATTCTTTGGTTGCTATCTGTAGATGAAAAGGATATCCACAATTTTTCACACAAATATCCAAGAGCTAACAATAACAGCAACAATAAATAGATATTGTTGTATCAATTGATATAAATAAACCAATCTCACATAAATGCATAAATTATAAATACCGTTAAAGCTAACCATGCAACAGTCGGGTTTCGATGATTCACAAGTCTGACTATATGCATGGCTGCATCCCGTGGACTTTTAGGAATGATTTTTTTGATCGGGGGAAAAAAAGATAAACATCAATTGTAAGTTGACGGCTAGCTAACTATCTAGTTGGTTAATTGGTTGACGAAATAATACTTAATGAAGCTTACTAGTTTTGTTTTTTCTGATTAATCAAGTCTGCTATTTCCAAATTTAAGGCCAAATCTGGTTCTACTGATTGTGGATTACATGCTCTATCTATAGATTACTCAGTTTAGTTATAGTTTATATAGTAGTTATTAAACAAAATATAAACATTAAAGATTCTTTTTAAAAGACAAGAAATTTTACCTATAAAGTTTTGTATAGTAGGTTTTGGTGTAATGGCGGGTAACTATGCATTATAAACAAATTGTTAAAGTTGTTTGCGTTTACTAGTTTATTTAATTAATTATTACTCTTTAGAAGATCTCATAATTGTAAAAACGATTACTTGAATCGAGCCGAAATTCATTTAATCAAGCAATAAATAAAGTTTTTTTAAAAAAAATGATTGTTCCGTCATTCATTATAATTAGTACGGCTATGTATATTTGGAAGTTGATGTAACATCTGATGTAAAACTATGTAATAATAATATAAAAAAAGTTCAATTCCTAATCTTAATAAAAATATGTTCTTTAGTAAACTAGAAACTTAATGAATGTCATTTCTTAAATAGGACTCTCCTTTGTTTTTTTAGGAGTTGACTGACATGCATGGGAGAATCCAAGGACCACCTTGATTATGAAATCGTTTCCTGAATTCAATGAATTAAATGTTAAACTTTTGGTTTCAATGTTAATTATGTATGTCAACGAAGAAATGCACAAATAATTCAAATATAACCTTTGAACTGAGAACAGCTGCTAGGATTGTCAAGATTTTTCCAGTGAATCAGAAACCTCAATCAATTGACCACACCTAATTCTACATACATATCCGTCGGGACTACCAACATTATCATTAAGATGGGAAATCAACATTTGCTGATCATTGAATAAAACTTAAAAATTAGCAATGTTATTTGGTGCTTAACCGTCCGGCCTAGTCCTATCATGGGACCAGACTGGGGTACAATGAACTTTTCGAAGAAGGGGTTCAAATTACGGGCAGAGTCTACGCAAGGATAATCCGGGGCACAATGAAATCTATAAATCCAAAGCACGGGTAGATTCTACGCAAAGGGCAGTCCGGGACACAATGAACTCTAGAAATCTAAAGCGCGGGCGAATTCTATGAAAGAAGGTAACCCGGGGCATAATGAACTCTTCAAAGAAGAAATCCAAAGCACAGACGGATTTTACGTAAGGGGTAATGGAAAAGTCCAAAGCACGACCAAAGAAAAATATTATAAAATCATAATTAAAGATGAAAATAAAACGAAGATAAAATAAAAATATTATACATATCATATTCTTTTCATCTTATTAAAAAATTTTTTTAAATAAAGGAAAAAAATAATCTTAAATTATGCTTCTGCAAAGTTCGATTGTAATATTCCAATTTTGAAATATTAGAATTACTAATTAATTAAATTGTATATAAGGAGCTTGAATTCAATGTACTGTAAAAGCAACTTTCTCATAAGTTAATTAGTTCATTCTGATCCACACAAATACAAAAATAATTGTTAAAACATGCTCTCCCAAATTTAATTGGTGACACACTGTTTAATATCCCGGTTATTTGTAATTCTCTAAGGATTTTTTCATCATTATTGCATTCTTTTGAAAGTTGAACTAACATATCATGAAGCATTTTGCACAATTTCAAACTGTCTTTAACATACTTTTTTCCATGTTCACCCTCCCACTCTCTTCCGGTTTCAATTGCACCAAATTCTAATCTACTTCCTTTCAATCTAAATACTCCATCTCCTTTTCTTCCAATTTTCTTCCGATTTGTTCCATAATTTTCTTGGTTCTTTCTATCACTTGAAGCCATACTCATCCCTTCACCTCATATTAAATTGATATTTGAATTACGAAATGCAATGTCAATAAGTGGACCCCATGTTTAACTGATACCACCCTTCTAATTTTGATGAGTCATCATTGTCACTTTCCCAGAGCATGTGCATAATGCTATATGCAAGATGAATGTAATTTAAATTAAAATGCTCTTTATTGGAGTATGAAGTGCTAGTAGAAAGGGTTCAAAAATAATTTTTTGAAACTCGGATAAATCAGTTGTTGAGTACTTTTTCATAAGATTAATACAATCTTTGGTATCTTTTTAACTTTGAAGGAGAATATTTCATCCCAGTCTTCTTTACTAAATAAGGACTTTGCTTCTTTATCAACGTCATTAATGATAAATGAATGTAAGCATGATTCATGTGACAATTTTCTTGCATATTTGTATATAACTTTTCCACAATGGTATCACTCTTTAGCTTCCACATTTTTTGTGGATCCAAGTTATAATATGTGCTATCAAGTTCAGTTAAATCAGGAATTTTTAACTCATCTTCATTTATGTTACTAATATTTGGTTGTCTTGAATTACTAAAATAACTGTTTTAACCAAGTATTAAATTTTGTAACTAGAGTGTCAACAAGTGGTGATAACCACAATTCTTAAAACACTTATCCAGCAGTCGCCTCCCCTTTGTTATTTTCATTCTTTCTTTTATTGTTGTTGTGTTGTTGTGGCATTTTTTTTTAATTTTAAAAGAAATAAAAAGAAGTTTGTTATTGGATCGACAAATGCGTGCACATTAATTATTTATCCAACAGGAGAGACCATCCTATATAAGGAATGGATTTTCATAATTGATTTCATTTTTTTTTATACAGTTTAAAATACTTTTACAAGTGTATTATGTAGTCCATTCTTGCAATAAATCATGTGTAAATAATTACACAAACTTGAAGCTTTACACTTTGCTGTTATCATATCTTTTGAATCTCTTTGAATCCCACAACTTTCATAATACAATTTACTTGAAGAAAAATTGCCTGAAATTAAACATTGCACAGAATGTAAAACCACTGAATCAGCTAAATTTCATCAA